ATCTTAATATATGCTCCAGAATCTTGTTGTAAAAACGTATGTTTTAATTTATGCTTAGAAGTGTTATTTTAGAGTAGAAATAGATAAAGTGGGTTTTGCGCTGGGAAATATACCTACTTAAATGTATGTAGGTACTCCTTAATATCTTTTATTAATGCTGACCTTTTATAAAAAAAGATCTTATCACCATAATCGTGGTTCAACGCTTTTGAATGGATGCTGGATGTGGAGGTCCCGGGTTCGATTCCCGGTAGAACTAAATTGGGAAAACAACTTTTCTAAATTCGTCAGTACAGGGATTTCACTAGTTTGAGCCCAGGCAATTGATGTGGTTGTCTGTCACATATTAATGACGTAAGCTTCAATGCAGAAATCTACATGTTGCCCTCTACAGTATGTTTTACGCGTATTTATAAAATAGTAGAGGAGCAGAATATTTATTTATAATTCTATAAAAAATGCAAATCTTCAACGTGAAAAGACATTACGACAGTAACCGCTTGGACGGAACTACGAAGCCCCACTCACGCACGCGCCGGAAGCAGCGCCCGCGCATCCGACCCAGCTCGTTTACCATGAGTGTAATTGAACCGCAAGCACTTTTGGATCGATTACTTTGTACTTGCATGAGGAAGGACTTCCTAGTGGACATTGAATAATGTTATAAAGGAAGAGAATACGCCTATAGTACAATGTGATTGTAACTTGAGATACATGTACGTCGATACGATTGAATATTTTAGTGTTTTAGGTTGTAGCATTATGTAGTCATTTTCAGGAATTATTCTTTCATGACACAGCTGCTTCAGCTGAAAATGCTCAGCAATTGCAAGAACCGATATGGTGCATGGATGTAATGTTTTTAGAATTTGGACAGTAAATTAATGCCAATGAAACAAAATTGCTAACTACTTCTAATAAAATATAACCCAATACTGCCTACTACAAATAGACAACCTAGTTATAAAGCAAAACTTTTTTAACAATAAAAAACATCTATTTTAAAAAGAGCATTGCATTATATTGTACAAAGACGTGGACAATATCACAGAGAGACATTGAAAGATTGGACGCATTTGAGATGTGGTGTTGAAAAAGGAGCGAATCAGTTGGACAGAAAGAAAAGCAATGGGGAGGTGTTAGAAATAGGTCAGCAAGAGAAGCTTATCAAAGATAATAAAGAAACGAAGTAGAAAGATTTTTAGGAATCGCATTAGAAAGAAACGATCGAAGTAAAAGACAATAAAAATAAGGAAAACGTTAATGTCGTTTCGTATAAGGAAGTCGAAGTTAAGGCGCTGAATAGAGATGCTTGGCGATTCATCGACAAGAGCATAAGCAAGCAAGAGCTCTTAAATATTAATGAGAAAAAAAAATCTCTCACTAATAGATGTCACTAGCGGCGACATATTCCGAAAGTTAGTACAAAGATCTATAACAAAAATAGGAGAATTTCGACGACTCCGTAACTGCAGCCGTGGCTCAGATGGTTAGGGCAATGTTACGGTGCAGCATGAACGTGGGTTCAAATCCCACCGGGTCGACAAATATTTTCAGTGTGTTCGATTTTTATTCAAACAAAATAATAAAAATAAAATGTTTATTATTTTACTTCCTTTAGTTATGGGCTTGCAAGCATTGGAACCTAGTTCATATTGGATTCAAAGGACCAGTTAATGTAACTTGTAATTGGATTTAATTTATAATTTGAGGTGGTTTCTAATTTATTTAACCGAAATTCGCTTTATATTATAAATTAGATTCAATTTAACATTGTGGTAGTTTTCATTACTAACATAGACTATAAGTTTATTTTTTATAACTAACATTACAAACACTATAACCATGGTCTGAAATAAAAAGTTTTGAATTCTGAATGTTGAATTTATGAAATACAGGCACTTAGTGTGATGTTTCTTTCATGTTTTAGAACAGTTAAGATTGTCTGCAAAACATTGTTATTGGTTCCACGAGCGGGCTCATTTTAATTTTGCTAAATAAATTTTGGGTACTGAGCTAGGTTTGAATGCAAACTTTATGCAACTTTCAACATTCGTCATGAGATCCATTCAGAGTAAACAATTGCCCTAATTGCATGTCTCAGCGAGGATGAATTAATTGAATGATTAAATTATTTGTCACGTGGGCGGGCGTGGGCGGAGCTTGCTTCCATTGGGCGGCCGGCTTGGGCGGACGGTGCGAAGATCCGCCCAACTGAGATAGCTCTCTTCTTAAGTTGTTTCGGAAGTTTGTCTTTGTTTTGTTTGATAAGTTAAGTTATGGAGAAACTGTATGTGCATGTAGTTATGCATTGTTTTTGTTGTTGCTATACTTAAGCGAATTTGTACGATATATTTTTATATAGTGTTGTAACTCAAAAAATGTAAAATTTAATATTATATCATTACTGAACGCAAAATTTAATTCTCTACACGTTAAAAAAAACTGTAGAATATTGTTAGAAACAATCAAAATATATCTACTTAACTCAAAATGAGACACTTTATGAGAGCTAGTTCTGGCCAAAATAATCCTTATTCAAAAATATGAAATTATTTTTCCATTTTATTTTTAAATATATTTGTGATATTGTTAAAGTGTCTATAATAAACTTAACTTATACATAAATTTTAATGATTTATTGCGGGAAGTGAGTAATTCGTTTTTCATCGATTCTGATGAAAGGTCACTTTTTGAGTTAATACACAATTGTATTAACAGTGCGATATATAAAAATATATGTAGCTGTAATATTACTATTATTTATTATTAATATTATATTCGCCTACAATAGCATTTATTGAACCCTATGTCTACAATTATTTTTATGTTCAACCTTTTTTTTAGCACATGAAGAATAGTCTATAGAGACGGGCTTATTGAATAAAGAGATAATTTCTTTATATTTTAATTAAGTTAAATCTATATAATAATTCACTTGGTAAAAAACAACGGCAATTATAAAATTATAGATGCACATGGGAAATGAAACTTTTGTTTCGGATCTAAAATTGCGTATTTGTTTTTTCAAATAATCCAACGTTTCAGGTCCTTTATAAATCACCATGGTCATGGCTTAATGTGGTCAATCTGACTAAGAAATGTACATGAAATGAATAAATTTGTCACATATAGCGCTACGACGTAAGTCAATGGCTACGACAGAAAAAGTTTAAAAACCATAAACAAAGATCCTACAAACAGGAATAAAAATTTATAAGGTTTACTGGTTCGAATCCAGCCGGATCGAATGAATTTTTCTTAGTGTGTCGATCTTCGTTATAATAATTATAACAACCTAATGGAATATTTTCACAAAAAAATAATTGAATATCTTGGTAGTAAAATGTCGTGGTAGTCAATAAAACTTAAAAAAATTACAATTATTAAAGCGACATCTCTAGTCAGCAAAAGGCACCTCTCTGAGTGAAGATTAAATTTTTCGCAGATGGCGCTACGGCAAAAAAGTAGTTAAAAACTAAAAACAAAGATCTGCAACAAACGCACAGAAAAATTCGTAAAGTCTCCCAGTTCGTTCCGTGGCTTAATTGGCAGAGCTTCTGGCACGGATGGCCTGAGGATACCGGTTCGAATCCAGCCGGATCGAATGAATTTTTCTTATTGTTTCGATCTTTGTTATAATAAAATAACAAATGTACGTGACTTAGATCCAAAAAATAGTTTCATTTCGAAATGTTATTAGTGTATGTTTATAATGTACGAAGCAATTCGTTATAAATAGGCATTTAAACCTTCATCTAATCAACCAATACGAATTCCATAACACCGATATAAACCCGCATGTGGCTTAAATTAAGCAAACCAAATTCACCTTGAATATTTGTCAGGTTCATTGCAACTTACAGTGGTACTAATGATATGACAGTCATGATATTATTAATTCCAATACCTGTTTTATGTCATCGGCCAAATTGTGACAGTAAAAAACAACAGTCCCAAAAGGACCTATTTACAAAAAAGCATATTTCTATAAGTACAAGGTACAATCCCTCGTGACACGTGAGGTAAACATTTTCTTAGCACTTACTTATTTGTTTTCAAAAGATTGTAGTCAGATTATAACGAAGTATCAATTCCTAATTCTCCCCTTTATGAAATACAATGGTATATAAAGATTATATTGATTTTGCACCAAAAAGCAATATCTAAAGTTATTAAGCTGTTCCTGCGTGTCTAAGACAATCAAATTGGACGACGAAAATAGTGATTCACAATTGTGACAATAATATGAGAATGTAGTGAGATTTAGTGGTTCCCTAACCCAAGGTGCGGGCTTTATCACGTATCTAAAGCTTGGTACTTGGAACCTACCACGATGTAGACACTTGTAGCGCTTATGGGGGTCAGAGACATTGTTCCGCGTGAGTTTACGCTTCGATGGGTTTAGACTTAGGGGTGTTTGGAAATAGAAATTAGTTAATAAATCTTTACTTTCTGAGTATAAGTAGGTCATACCAAAATAGTTCGTTTTTATCTTTTTTAAATTTTCTTGTGGGCCATCTTCCTGGTGACTATGGAATTTTAAACTAAAAATGAAATTTTAAAGTAAAACTTCTTTCATAATACAATGTTAAAAAAAATAGAAGCGATTTTTAAACAATATCAAAATTATTCAAACATTACATAAATAAAAAAAGTAATTTTGATAATTAAAAGATGATAGAGTTTTTACTTTAACGGTAATAGCTAAATACGTGGTGTGCCTTTCAACTATGTACTTTTATTGTCTTTACATTGATTCGATATAATCTGGCTACTACTCTTTTGGAATCTTAGCAATAAAATCGCACTATCATAATGCATTCAAAGTAAATATGTATGTCCCAATTGAATAACAGGGACAAAATAATATTCACAAATTTTATAGAACACCCTATATGAGGGTTGAGGCGGTCCATGGCACCGCACGCGCCGGGGTGCGCACCCTGCGACCGACAGCCAGTCCTGTCCCAACCGCCCCACAGAGCGGACCGCGCACCCCTAACCGCCGCCATAGAACGCACTACTACAAACTTATGCCACGAACTTCGAAATTAAAAAAAATATAATCTTCTAAATTCAAACAGTTAAAAAAACGTTATTAATAGTTCTATTTTAAAAATTAACAATTTTAATATTCTGTATAAGTTTGTTGGCTGCAAGGGGTGACGGTTGAGTCAGCAGAGGACCAAGCACAGGTATGAGTCACTTTCAGCCTCCCGTAGCATAGTAACGCCCTTAATAACGTACCTGCGTAGATATTGCGAATGCACGCACTTTGATTTCATTGCAATCTCCGGTGGGGTCATTCCTTATTGTAGTTTTGTGTTGATTTACTTGATTTTAAACTACATTTGGATATTGTTGTACGCTTATTTATAAAGGTATTTTATTTGTTTTCAAATAGTTCTGTAGGCTGTTTAAGTTATGATAATTGTACCACCGATAAATATAAAAATATATATTTTAAAAAGGTAATAATTGAAAAATAGTCTGTATTAGATAATAAGCAAAGAGTACGGACCACCACTTGTTACGTTCCTGATTTATTTGTTTCACTTTTACCACTCGCTTCTTCTTTTTAACCGACTTCAAAAAAAGGGGGAGGTTCTCAATTCCACTGTATTTTTTTGTATGTATGTTAAGTCTTGATGATTCTTTTTTGTTGGACATAGGGTGCCTCATTATTATAAAGTTGAAGAAAATATTCCACCTTTAAGGGTGGCAAACTAGGTGATTCAAATCGTTATATATGCAATTGTGTATTACTTTTTACGAAATTTTGTTAATATGTGTGTTAATTTAATATTTATTTCATTTATTTAAAACCACTTATTGTCCATTTTTAATTTAGAAGGATGAATATCTTAGTAAGTAATTTTAGTAGCAGTAGAGGTCCTTATGAAAGTGTTCGTTCAGGGCGGTACTGCCACCTTACCTATTTCTGCCTCCAAGCAGTAATGTAAGCATTACTGCGTTCCGGCTTTGAAGGGTGCTGGTAAAATTACAGGCACATGAGACTTGTCAAGTTATGTTTCACGGTGAAGAGCACAGTGGCAATGCCTCTCAGGTCTTTGCGTTTTAAAGTTGTGAGCGGCCCTGCAACTGCTATGGACAGGCGTATCACTTACCGCCAAGCGCACTATAAAAACCAAAAAAAATAAAAATCCCGACGCAAAACAGCGTACTCCAAAAAATTACCATGCGTCAGCGAACTACTCGTTCACGAGACCAATTCAATAAGCCTAAATCTGCAGATTGTCCTGGTTGCAGCATCATATCAAGTTTACCATAATAATATTGTAAAGTTCCCGGATTTCTATAATACATCAAATTTCAAACGTCAATGGAACATATGCAAGTAAAATAAATAATTACTTTATGAGATCCCTAGGTACACTAACCGGGAAATAAGTTGATCTTTAAATAGTTGAATAGTTCATTAAACATAGCTAAAAACCAATCCTTCTACATTAGCGCACAACTTGTTCATCCCTTCGCTTGATATCATAAAACAAAATTTGCAAAGTTAAACTAAACTTGCTGAAATTAGAAAGTGTCGATTACGGTGATTCCCGCTTCATGCAACTTGTGTGTTGGTCAAACTTTGTGAAGCCGAACGAACCCGGACAGTGTAGCATCAAAGTTGCACCGCATGAATTTGATCTATTCATTTCCTGATTAATTTTGTTTCGTATCTATTATAAAATAGATACCTGTATATCGAGTTCTTAGGTTTTCGTGATTATTACACATAGGAAATTAAATCGTATCTAAATGGTATATAGTTGTTTTTTCAAACAAACGAACGTTTTGGGCCCTTTGCAGGTTCCATTTGGCCATTTTGTTCCAGGCGGTTGATTGAGAAGTTATGTTTTATATTAATGCAAACCAAAACAAATATTTTATAGTTAAAAAAGTTATTTAAATGTACTAAAGCTTAAAAAATGTTCAATTGATCAAAAACTATAAGTTATGCAATTTTCAAACTGGTATTTCAATAAGTTCTTGATTAAAATTTGATTTGTGTACTAGACCTTTCAAAATAAAATATCCGGACGTGTAATTGTAACAAAGATTTAACAAATGATAATTTAATTGAAGAAAAATTAACTAGACAAGTTAAAGGTCATAGCAACGTGTCTCTTTTTAGCCAACTTCAAAAAATGGAGGACAATCTCAATTCGACTGTATGTTTTTTTGTATGTATTTTACGCGATACTCCGGCTTTGTGAACTGATTTTGATAATTCTTTTTTTGTTGGAAAAAGGATGGACAGTGGTTCCATTTAAATTTGAAGAGAATACTCCACCTGTAAGGGTGGCAAACTAAGGGATGAATGAATTTTGAGTTCGGTTTTTTTAGTACTCTGAATTAAGATTATGAATGGTTAAACTTGTTCCAGAGGTCTCTGGTCACAAGGTTTCCACAAGGCCAAATAAAAGATCTTTAACAAGAAATTTCACTTGTGGGCTCCAGTGACACAAGGATTAAAGAAAGGTTAAGAGATTCAAGAAGTCATAAAGCGAGGGGTGAGGTGGACGTAACTTGCGTTATTGTATCGGATATTTTGACAAGTTTTATATAGAGTAGTCTGTATGGGATTTTTAAAATGATTATATATTTAGAGATATTTCAAAAAATATTTAGTTCGAGATGCTGAGCAGACATGTTGTCTTTCAAAATAAAGTGCTAACTGCTTGTTTCTTTGTTTGATCCTTTGGTCACCTTCTATGACATCCACAGAAAGATAAACAAGTCAAACAAAACAAGTCCTATGATCGAAAAACACTCAATACAACGTTGCTGGTACTGCAGTTGTAGCTTGAAATGCGTATAGGCTACACAGCTCTTCATCAGTTAACAGTCCTACGTTTTTGCTTCGCTATTGAACAAAATAATATCTGAATATCTCCGTACATCATTTTTGTAAGTAACTATTATCAAGTATTAATACAAAGATCGAACACAAAAAAAAATTGTAAATACCAGGTTGAACGCAGAAAAACTATCAAAGATTTCTTGTAGGTGTCGCTACGGCAAAAAAAAACCGTCAAAAACATAGACATGCAACAAACGCATAGAAAAATTCATAAGGTCTGCCGAGTTGATGTATAATGTAATAGCTCATTAGGAAGAGCCGTCACCCTAGTATTGCACAGACGTAGGTTCGTGTCCTGTCAGATCGTAGCAATTTTTCTTTGTGTTCGATCTTTGTATTAATAATTATAATAACCTACTAGAGTAATTAAAAAGAAAATAATAACATAGTAGTAAAACATCGTAACATTCATTACAATAAATATTATAACTATTATCAAATTAAACTATTACCAGTTAACGCCTCTACGTTTTATAATGACCAGGTGACGATTATTGGTAACATGTATTTAATACATGTTACCAATACTTTGCCAACGCTCTACATTCATGAATATTAATGTATTTAATATTCATGAATCTTGCACGATAATGAAATACTCGTAAGGTGTTGTTATTTAATTGGGTGTTAGGTGTTTAATTATGGGGTTCAGTGTATGTTGGCTTGGTTGGAAATAGAAAATCAAAGATTGATTTGTGGGCACTTTGTCTTCGCCGGTGCATCCTCTCATCATACATCTATGTGCTTCTTCTTCTTGTTATCATATCGATGGTATACACTATAATGCTCGCTATCGTGGTGAAATAATTTGTCCACCGGCGTAAGGTGGTCGCCGATTGTTGCCCGGGATACACCAGAACCAGGAAAGGAATGGTACACCGTGAGAGGCTCCTTTCTAGCACTCCACATTCATCATTGTACTATAAAATCGCAATTAAATGTAATACAACGTAACATTAAATTATAACGGCAGAATAGTGTAAAATATAAGTTTGAAAGCTGTAACGTTACTATTGTTTATGGCTAAACTAATTTATTTTCTAAATCTACGGTTTTTGTCTGTGCTATTTGTTTGTCTCTGAAGTAAAACGTGTGTAAACTAACTTGTTATTGCGGAATCAATAAAGTTTCTCTGAGTAAAATTACGTTTATATCGAGACCAGATCTATTACAGTTAACTAAAAGAAGAATACAACCACTATTATTCAGTTTTTCATTTCCGACGCAATGAAATTTGTTTATTTGTGCAATTTTTTGGTGTAACAATTTGATGTTCAGTAACCTACTACAAATGATTAAAGTCATTGAGTTCGGGGTATTACATTTCAATCTATTATTATCTTATCATATTTAAGTTATATTATGTCTAGATGTCAATATTAAATTATCATTAGGTTTTACTATTATGAATATTTTACATTAATAATATTGCAAAATACAGATTAGATCATATACATATGTCAGTCGTACAGATGTCAATCAGTTTATTTGCGAGTAGCTACGGAGTAGTAGCAACCGTTAAGTAACATTATATTTATTTAACATCTAAATGCATTTAGTGGCAATACTCTTAGGTCACTAGATACTAAAAAATTGTATAGCTATAAACTAAGGACTATTTGCAATGCTTAATAATCGGCAATATGGTGCTCAAAAGGAGTGGAAGTGAAAGTTTAAAGCCATTGTTTGTGTATCTATATATGTATCAGTAGCATCGTAGTTCGAACGGATGGACTGATCTTAAGCACCCTGTAAACGATCAAACAATTTGACAAATGTTACGTGTACCTACTACGTAAACTTTTGGATTCTCTGCGGTCGTGTTTGATGCGTTTGTCAAATATGTACGTGTTTGATGGAAATTTAGACTGACGGCGTGTTTGACAAACATGTTTGAAGGTATCGGACATGTTTGTTAAACTTAACTTCAATAAAAATGGAAGTAAATTAATTTGCTACTCCGCGAACCCAGTGGTAAAAAAAGTTAAATCGTGGTAAAATTGTCGCCCATGCGTTCACCTTGCTAGATTCCATATAATCGTCGTTTGATGGGTTTTCAAATATTGTACGTGTTTAATAAAAATGTACATTGACGGCGTATTTGACAAACATGTATTTATTTATTTACCATGTTATGAACATATGTAACATGTATGAAGGTATGCTGGCATGTTTGTTAAACCAAACCTCAGTTGTCGCCTATGCGTTTACCTTGATAGATTCCATATAATCGTCGTTTGATGCGTTTATCAAATAATGTACGTGTTTGATAGAAATCTAGGTTGACGGTGTTTTTGTCAAACATGTATTTATTTA